TACGGTGCGGCAGGAAGCAGGAACCGGAACGACAACAAGTAAAAAACAGCAAAGTCGGATCATGAGCGTCGCGGTCATAGTAAGCATACCTCCTATTCGGCCCGTATATATGCAAGCAAGGCATGTTGTTCGATGAATGGGCGTACTGACGACCGACCCCAGAACCCTCCCGATGATCCGGCGAATGTCGTGCAGTCGCTCGTGAACACACTCTTGGATGTCTTTGATGCCACAAGGGATCTTTACGGGACGCTCACGGCCAAGGAGCAAAGAGACTATGAAGAAAACCTGCGCAGCAAAGGATACCCTGCTTCAAGGCGGATCGAGTATGTGAAGGATGACCGACTGGGTAGCGATGAGGCTATCGTGACGGACAAAGCTGTGGTCATGAGGCAGATGGATATCGGATGTGAAACTCTGGGGGCCCAGTTCGCCATGGGCGATGGTATGCGTGCTCTTCCTCTTCTGAACCCCATGAGACCCATCAGCTAACGAGACACTATCAGTAACCGCGCATACAGCCCTCCAGTCACAGATCATTACCCTCCAAAGCGTGCTGGTCACCACATTCCTATACGGACCCACATCAGGCGACACCATCGCCCATCAGCTAGCGAACATTAATGCGGCATCCAGAGTAGCAGCTGCGACGTCGGTCGAGATATTGGCTGCGTTGCAGGAACGTCAACAAGATGAGAGGCCGCTTACACCGCGGTCGATGCACTCTTTCACGGCACGTTCGAGCCCGTCGCATGCGCCATCACAAGCAATGACCCTCCATACATCGCATGCGCCTTCACATGTATCGTCACATCATACCTCGCGCCCGCCTTCGCACGCGCCATCCCACCATACTTCTCATGCGCCATCACACATGTCATCTCACCATACTTCCCACGCGCCATCGCATGTACCGTCACACGTGACATCCCGTACGCGATCTCGTGCGAAGTCTTTGACAGGATCCCAGGCACCGCCGTATGCACCATCCCACATCATGTCCCAGGCACCTTCGCATGCGCCTTCGCACATGCAATCACATGCACCATCGCGCGCGTTGACACTGCCTCAGTCTGGTGCTAGTATGGGTTCAGCATCCACAGCTCTGATGAAGTATCCGGAACCACGATCCCGGAGTTCACACGTGCGAAGTAGCAGCCCTGTCAACACAACAGTGCTCGCATGGCGAGACAACGTCGAGCCAGAGCAATCAGTCACCGATGCCACCTCCGTAACCGGACCCACGATGATCTCAGCCTCTAACAACCTATACTGCGTATACGCATACGACCTCCAACGGAACCCAACCCAACAGCTTGCCACCAGCATAACATCAGACCGAGACCCCTATTGTCCACACTGCAGAGGCGAACTCCACCTCTCACCAGGAAAAGCATGGGAAATCTCTAAATGGGCTTACGACACAGAACGAACCTTTCAAGTCCAGAACCGCTTCGTCGTCAAGTGTCATCGTGATGGTCCCGACGGCCAATATTGCTGCGTTATTTGCTCCAAGTACGCGGACTCGGATACCATCTGCGGTGACGTGAAGGCTCTTATCAAGCATCTCTCGGATGATCACGATACCCGGCAGCTCAAGCATGAGGAGGATATCGTGGAGGTGATCGAGCAGCCGGGTAGTCGGAGGGACAGCGGCATTGGATATTCTACTTCGGTGAGAAGTAAGGGGAGTCGGAGGAGCGCTAGTCTGGCGGAGAGGGGTCGGAGACGAAAGAGTCTGGCTGGGTATGACCGAGAGGCAGACTCATTTGACGGCAGGTTCTCGAGGAGGTAGTCGCATGTTTTGCGAGTCGGTGTTCTGGTGAATTGGTGGGCACTGCGGCATTGCTTGGGTTTTTCTTTGTCCTCCTTGTGGTTCGCTTGGGCTTGTACTACCACCATTACCTCTTTTGGTACGAAAAATACGTTCCTCATTTCTTAGTATCATCGTTTTCTCTTGCGATTAGCTTAGCATACGCATTACCATTTTGTACAACTGCCTCATCCCACAACCTTCGTCGCAAAGAACCAAAATACAACTATGCAGTTCCAATTAGCCTACCACTCTCCAATATGTATCCCCTGTCCCCTCGCTCCCCATTACCCCATCCGTCGCCCCGCCCCATCAGCCATCCATCCCTCGCGCACCAGTCAAACCCCCTCCCGCGTATATGCTCACGCAGTCCTTACCACAAACCTACCAGTCCATATTCCATGCATGAACACATGCAGCGCTACCCAAAACATACATGCCGACCACATCCAAAACGGACAATGCACGTTTCCCGCAATCCACGGTTTGCGACCAGACCTACTCGATGCGGTAACTTGAGGATGAGATACTGGTTGCAGTGGAACCGAGTTGACCCGAGGGTGAGGTTATGCGCAAAAGCAGGCGTACGGCAGCATGCGCGCGCGTGTGTAATGTGTGGGTAATATCTTGATTGTTAGGTTTGGGGAGGATTTACCATTGTCTGTTTTGGGACTAGGGTGGTTGGTGTTTTGGTGGGTGGCTGGAGTGGCTAGGGTTACGGTGTTAGATTGTACTGTGAGACTCATGCTGGGTACGCGTTGTGCCTTGTACACATTCTAGTGATGCGCGACTTGGCCTTTGAGATGTTGGAGTAGATGGTGGAGATATGGAGGTGGCCGATCGAATGGGTGACTAAGCAATGGTACCGAGATGGCCGATGCTCGGACTTGGAGATGCCTAGGTGCCGCCTGTCAACCATCCCCTCCATTGTCAATCCATCCTGGCTCTCGAACGTGTATACGGAAAGCCAGAGTGTTTTGACACCGACTTCGGAGTATGAGCTACTTAAACACGTTATTTCCGACTGCACACGCGTTATGTCCAACTAACTCCGCGACTAACACAGGCTGCAGGAACGACTGTTCGTATAATAACGCCTTTATTTTCCGTTGCTAGAGCTACTCACCACACCCTCAATTGACTACTTACTAGAGCTTAAGAACGATTACCACGATTACCTCAATTAGCAACAATGTCAGGACCATACCTTCACGGCCATCACGCATCTGTTCTCCGCTCCCACAGCTGGCGTACGGTCGAGAACTCGTGTCCTCACCTCCTTCCTTACCTCAACAACCCTTCGCTCAAGATACTCGATGTGGGCTGCGGTCCAGGAACCATCAGCGTCGACCTTGCTGCACGCGTCCCACAAGGCTTCGTCTATGCCATCGATCCCTCCGCCGAAGTCATCGAGAAGGCGCGAAAACACGCGGAGGAAAAAGGCATCACAAACATACGGTTCGAGGCTGGGGATATACATGAATGGAACAAGCTCGATGGCGTAGAAGAAGCAGGCTTCGATATTGTACATGCGCATCAAGTGCTGCAGCATCTACAAGATCCGCTGGGTGCGATGAAGGAAATGAAGCGCTTGACCAAGCCAGGCGGCATCGTCGCAGTCCGAGAGTGCAACTACAGCGCCATGGACTGGTATCCAGAGCACCCAGGGATGCACAAGTGGAAGGAACTATACATCAAGATTGCGTTCGGGCTCAAGGCACATCCAAACATGGGCAGGTACGTGCATGCGATAGCCTTGCAAGCGGGTTTCCCAAGAAGCGATATCGAGGCTAGCGTAGCCGCCTGGACATTCAGCACACCAGAAGAGAGACAGTGGTGGTGCGGACTCTGGGCCGATCGGACGGTGCAAAGCGACTACAAACAGCGGGCTCTGGACAGCGGATATGCGACGGAGCAGGATCTGGAAGAGATCGCTGCGACATGGCGAGAAATGGAGAAGAAGGAGGATGGCTGGTTCGCTGTTATCAACGGACAGGTCATCTGCCATGTTAGGTAGGATCTATAGGTAATAATCGGAAGCTTGTCTAGAGTTTCTCCTCGGCCTTTCCTCCCGTCAAATGATAGGGATGTGAACTATACCTCGAGGTCCTCGGTCTTTCTCAACATACAGCGTACTCCACTTACTTGCTTCCCATCGGGCGGAGCCGTCTTCCTTGCCGCCCGTATGGCGAAACACCCATCCCACGCGTCTCACTCACCTCCAATCGCGAGGTCCACCGCATTTACCGCGTGCCAGTCATCTGACGGCATATGCACTAGCCGCCTCGGCCTGAAGTAGCTGCCTGGCCCTGCAGAAGCTCTGTATATCAACCCCACTTTACCCCTCCAACTTCTATCATCTATCAGCAATCTACTACTCCACGACATCGCAACATTACATTTCACCACAAACTTCAGGAAAGAGACAGCAAACAGTCAATATGCAGTCCACAATCGAACTTGTCAACTTCCACAGCGACTGCCCAAAGTGCGGCTCTACTATTAGCGGCGATGCCAAGACCTGTGGATCTTGCGGCAGCGTAAGATGCTTCAAGCAACACTTCGCAGCCGAAGCGTAGCTAACTTGCGCTACAGTCTTGCCCAGTTTAGGTCATGAAGAATGTGTTTGTATGGGTTGGCGTAGTTGGGGGGTTTGAGAGAAGCGGATACCCAAAGGCTGGACGTGCACGGCGTTGATGCGGCTGCGGAGTATGAGAACAGGAGTTTGGACGGTAGTGGGCATGTTTAGTGAGTGATTGAATTGAAATACGGAATTACATTACATAACTTCTCCTCTCTGCGAATCTGCTCTGGCTACGTGCACTTTCCCTTGCTTTCCTGTCCTCGTTGCTCTTTCTTGCGCAGGTCTCACCACGTCTTATATAACCCACTCACCCTCGCTTCAATACGTCTTCTTGATACGCAAGTAAGTCAGAGCCAGAGCTACGAATAGTACCACGACTGTCAGGAACATGAAGACCGAGTCTGCTTGACTCTGCTTGCACCGCGTATTGAGATGCCCTGCTTCTGCTTGAGTGGAATATATGCATCCGCCACTATTGCAGGCGCCACTCAATATGTCGATACCCTCAAGCCCTTTGTTTTTGGAATGTTCCACCTGGTCGCCCCACCGACTCCTGTCACTAGTGTCCGCACAATTCCTGCCTTGAAGCCGGATGGCTATGAGCTAGCATTCGTCAGCCGAATCATTCTACCTAGTGTGAATGGGAGCGCAACTTACCACTCCGCCGACAAGATTCGCCAATAAGACTACAATGTCGATGAGTACTTCGAAGTAGCCTCGCAAGAACTCTGTGCATGCCAACACAAAACCAGTGATGGCTCCGGCAAGCGTGAGACCGCCGATGCACGCTGCGAGGAAGAGGAGTTTCGGTACGCCGGATAAGTCTTTATAGTGATCAGGATTGTGGCCTTTGATAAGGGTCACACTCAAGCCTAGGACTACGATAGCGAGGAGGGATTGAAGGCCTCGGAGGATGGACGAAGGTATGAGGGTCTTGGTGAAGGCCATTGTGAGAAGATATCGAAGATGAGGTGATAGAACGTTGGTGCTGAAGACGATTATGATGCTAAGTTTCAGTGACTTTGAGAGAAGAGAAAGGAACAAGCGGGAAAGTTAGGCATATGACACAAGCAGGTTGACAGGATATCTACACAGCCTTGCGGGTAGCTGCAACATGTTCTGCGACGACCATGTCGTACAGTCACAACGAGGGTGGATGCTTTCAGGTACGAACCCTTTTGGTAATATGTTCCGTGTAATCGTTTTCTGTACAACGCTGAATCTCAACCATACCTAAATGGCTATGGAGGTTGGCAAACGTGCCTTATCTGGAACAGCGACCATGGGTATCACATTATCCACTTTTACGGGCGCATACGGATTGACTCTCTTGATCTTCCACCCACTCATCTCCCATTCTCTCCCTGTCTTCCTGTTTGCCAAAAGCAAGATAACTGGACTCACAAATATATTTCCTGCCATGATCAAGCAAGTAGCCAAGTAGAGATCGCATCGAGTCGCACCATCGATGTGACCGTCAATAAGATCCCACCTGGAGCATTCATCACCCCTGTAATCGTACTCTATGCAAACGAAATCGCCTTTGAACAGTTGATCTGACCCACATGTCCAAGGGCCACTTGTAAAAAACATCAACTGCCACTATATGTCAGTGATTCAAATCTATGTAGACGTGAACTGTGTCGCGTGTAGACTGGTCGACTTACAAACCCGATGGCCAAATTGAGCGACAGTAAACCACCGTCAAGCGTGTTTCTGATCCAAGGGTGTAAAACTTTGCGATAGTAGATTGTTATGAGCGCGGAAATCAATGTCGATACGCTCACTCCGGTCGCGAAATGCTGCATGGCCGGCATAGGGCGTCCTCTTCTGGTAACGAGCAACAGTATTGTGATGCTAAAGACAGTAGCGCTGGAAATGGCTTGGAAACTGCGTGCAAGCAAGACTGGGAAAGACGGAGAGATGCGCATAGCGTTTGATTAACCGTCTGCGCCTTGAAAGACTCAGAGCGAGAAATGGACTACGGATGATGAGTTTGGACCAAGAAACATAAAGTGCCCACCGAGGTAGTATTCAGAGGGTATTTACTTCACATGACGTGGGAAGCTATCATGCCCAATACTCTTCGCAACGGTGTTACCTCTCACCCGCCTCGGCATCAGCAAAGCTTGACAGCACAGTTGCACAAAAGCGGGTAATGAGTACGTGCAACTTCGTCTTTCATTACTTCGTGTTCATTAACGGTGTGTGTCGCACATAGGCCGCGACTGGACTGCGTCGACTATCATAAGGAGTGTACCTTGCTTAGTGAGAAACTACGAAGAGCGTCGAAACGCTTGTCCTTGTGACAAGATGTACAGATGATAAATCGCTTGAAGTAGGGTATCGTGATACGAGAGAGAGACCGTCGTGAAATCCTCCAGAGACATGCGCAACACCACGTCAAGTGTGGATAAGATGGATCATCGCTACAATGCTTGGTGGTCGCTGTAAACATTAGCGAAAGGAGACTAGATGAGTCGATTCAGAAACACTCACCATCGTGCTTCTCCGAATCTAGTAGCCCTTCTTCATGCGCAAGAAAGCCAGCAAGGCAGTCACCGCGAGGACAATGACGGTAAGGAACATGAAGACGCAGTCGGCTTGGGTCGACCTGCACCTCGATTTCATGGTGTTGCGGTCGTTTTCCAGGTGCCAGTACCAGCAATCGTCGTCGGCTCTGCAGCCGCCATTGAAGATGTCGTTGAAAATGAGTTTGGCCGCGTTCTCGAAACTTGTGTCGGCATCGCAATCCACACCAGAGATCTTGAGAGCGAGAACCTTAATCTTTGTCAGCTGAATAGTCCGATTGCAAAAGTCTGAGGAGGTCCTTAGAACTCGGGCTAGCACTTACGATGCCACCTGCCGCGTTGATGACAGCAACAACGCCGTCGACTATCAATCCAATCATACCATCCAAGAAGCTGAAGAACAGTCCCGCGACTCCAAGCGCTGCTCCTAGAATCGTGACGCCACCGACAAAGGCTGAGAAGCCCAGACTAGCGGGGAGACCACCCCAGTGGTGACCGCGAATGAGTGAGACGGATATTCCGAGTACGACAATACCGAAAAGAGCCTGGAAGCCGCGAACGACAAAGTTGAGGAGTGGGTTCGCGATCGCCATGGTGTTGATTCGTATGTGTAGAGAGCCGTGTGCGGATGGTGGTGAACGATGGGTAGCTGCGACAGCAGTGGTGGTATCGGTTTCGGTTGTAAGAGGAAAGGTTTTCCCGGCGCGTAGTGATTGGAGTGAGAGGTGAAGAGAAAGAGAAGTCGCGACGGGTAACACCTCACTATTTACGTGTTTGTGCTCGTTTGCACACCCACGTCATTTGCTATTGGCCTTACCCTCGTCTGTGCCACCTTCACATTGGCAAGAGCAGTTTCAAGTCGTCGCGCGGCGTCCAAGGCAGACACATTGGCGGCGCAGCCCTATGGCTGTCAGGTTCGTACCACATGTATGGGTCCATTTGGGGGCCAGCCCTGCTGTGGTAAAGGGATCTACGGATACGGGTGGTTGCCTGGGGTTGAATCGGAGAGTTTGCTGCATTCGGCCTGACTGATGTTGATGGGGTTAGACCGATATTCATGTATACCTCGCCGATATAATTCAAGGTTTTTACTGTGACTCACAGTCACAGTCGTGGTTGAAGCGATGTGTCGTTGCCCTACCTAGGTGCCTGCTTGTACCCGCCCATAGCGACGTTAAGGCGTGAAGCCTTTCGAGCTGGCGACCAGACAAGCTCTCGCCAATCAAATGTCGCGCGACCAGCCATAAGCTCATTATTGGAGAGCATTGCAATGTAACGATGTCGGCGAATACCAAAGGCTATGGTTGTCAATGCATCAGGCGCCCAGAGGTTGGGGGCCGTATTTGGAAGTTTTCACCGGTCAGTCCATTTGTAGTCTATCTCAGAGAACATCGTGCAAGGCGACAGCTCACACGAGGCTAGGTGCATACATACATTCTCATTACCCGGACCTATAGAGTTGGTGGTGCAGTGTCAGAGATATCCATGAGAAAGTGCTCGTCACAATGCCCTTTGTGGCTGTGCTCGGCTCGGCCAATGAGAACGCGTCGCAAACTGGGAGTCTATTTTGGCCTCCAGCCTCCCGCTTCGCTGACCGTCATCTGCATCTCGAATTGTATCAACTCGCATCGCTCATCTGCAGGTTTACATGTCAGTCGCCTGGATCTAATGCTGGCATGAACATCTGACCACGGCCTCGTCTACCTAGGTACTCCCAGCGAAGACAGAGACAAGCTGACGCGCAAAAGGGCAGACGTCGCATCAACTGCAGTAAGCTTATCGCCATCTCATCTCAAATACATTCTGACATGCTATATCTAACCTGCATCTACGGTGTGAGAATGGCTGCCGCAGCCAAGATCGCCTTTGCCGTTCTCCCGACAAACTCCCCTGCCAGAGTAAGATTGCCCGCAGCAACAGCCTCTGTCACTCCAGGATATGTAACAGGCGCATAACCAGTATCGACACCAGGGGCAAAGACAAGATGCCGATAGAACTCTCTGCCCGGAAGCCCGCCCTGGCTGACGAACCCGCGCCCAAAATCGCGCGCCTTGTGGTTGAGCTGTCTGACCAGAAGCGAACTGTTTGAACTCACGGCCATGTCCCGAGCAGCATTGAATTGCTGTGCCGAATCCTCGAATGTCGCAACTGCACTCTCAAGCTCTTCTATAATTACTGAGGTTGTCGCGTTCGCAGTCCCAATTACACCCCTCAAGTCATGGAGCCACGCCCGCATCTCGACCCCATAATTCGCGGGCTCAAGCGGTACAACCTTTTCGTCAACCAAGCGATACAACATCAGGGTCAAGAACTGACCGATTGCCTTGTGCATCACGAAACCCGGATCCGCAAATTTAGTCATCCAGTGGTAGGAATCGAAGTTCGAATGCGTGTGATAAATCGGGTCGAGTGGCGCTCGTGTGGTGCCCATATCGATAGCGGAGATGCCCACGCCATGAACGAAAGCCGTGTAGTCACTCTGTGCACCTAGAGTATCGATCTCGCCGGTCTTTTCCTCCCATTCGTCATATAGGGTGCGGTTTGAGCCGTGTGGCCAGATGACTTTTCGTGCCGTGGACGTGGTGAGGGCGTGGAGATCGGGGGTGGCACCGAAATCTGGGATGGTGCCTGCTATGCCAACGTCGATGTTCAGGTAGGATACTGCGGAAGATTTCAACCAGGGTAGGTATTCTTCGACCCACTCGGTGCTGTGACTTCTTTTAGCTGGAGTGCTCATCGTCGTTCCGACTTGATGGCTCACCTTCCGACTAGACCGTATTCCTCAGCATCCCAGCTGCATAGCACGATGGTTCGCTTTGGCTTCCAACCCGTCTTCATCAGAGCACCGATTGCTTTAGCCAACTCAACGAGAATCGCAGAGCCCGAATGCGGATCCGCTGTAGACGTTAGTCTTGTCCAAAGTCCCGGCTTGCGTTCCTGACTTACCTGCTCCGCCGATCATCCAAGAATCATGATGATTCCCAACGATAACAACCTCATCCTCGTTCGTACCGTTGATAATACCAATCGCGTTGTGGATCCAATTGGTCTCGCCCCTCATTATATTGCTCATCGATAGCACAGCTTCCGACGGCCCAGAACTGTACTCAACCCCATCGATTCCACCCACCCAATTCGGTCGATCCGCAGTCTTCGCATCAACACCATGACCATTCAGCGCGACCAACAATGGTTTCGCTTCAATCCACGAAATCGGCAAACTCGGGATTGTAGGCACAGTCTTCTTTTCCTTCCTCTCTACGCCCTCTTTAGATGGGTATCCAGGTGTTGTCGGATCTCCGGGATACGTGCTCAAATCCATGACACTACCTTTTTGAATGCTCGTTGGATTTCTTGCCGGTCCGTCCGGGTACGTGGCGTAGTTCTTGGCTGTCATATTTTTGTCGTCCCCGGAATCTGTGAAGATTACAGCACCGATCATACCAAAGGCTTGTGCGTTCTTCACTTTGAGGCCGCGAAAGGGGCCGCCGTATTTCGCGAGGGCGATCTTGCCTTGAAGCGTGATGTTGAGGGCAAGAAGACGTTTGAAGTCTTCTTGGGAACCTCGGCCTGGTACGTTTAGCATCGAAAATAATTTAATACGAGTAACACGTACCGACGTAGACGTACTCGGCCGATGCGTTACCTGAACCGGAATACCCATGGAATGCAGGAACCCTGTCAGCATCACCTGTAGTCTCGTCTTCTTCAATTACTTCTTCTTCGAGCGTTGCGTTATATGTGCTACCGTTGCCATAGTCTAGTGACAAAGCACGGTGGACTGGGTAGTCAAGGTAGACGTCTTCCTGTCTGGTCAGTCGGTGTGTTCAGATGAATACTCCAAGAGACATACCATAACTATCTAGCCTGGTTTCGAAGCCATGTTCAGCCCATCGCTCAGCAGTCCATTTCGGAACCGCGTCACTTTCGCCGGCGAGGTTTCGTTTATGCGCTGCGTCAATCAGTAAACTTACTATTGATAGCAAAAGTGAGGGGTTTGCTGTTACAGTAGTAGCTTGACCATGACGCTATAGACGTGTTATCGAAGGATGAGACCAAAATCTCTTCGTTTGGCGTCAACATTGGAGGAAATATCAGGGAAGTATCACGCTGTTGTAGGTGGCGATCATGGTGTCGGTAGTGATGTTCTTTGTCGCATGCAACGACACTTCTAGAGTAAAGCAAAGCCAAAATGAACAGCATCGTGGTTAATTCCATGAACCATACGGAGGTGCTGACGACGAAGGGTTACCCAGGTCGAGGAATGTACATATAGTGCCAAGTGGCGGCAAATGTACTGGTTTAGCAACATCCAGGTTAGTTCTAGTTCTACCCCGGTCGATGCACTTTACGTCCTCATTCTATTTTGTGGGGTATTGACGACATGTTCACCTTTTTGGCAGTAGCGCTCATTGGCACACAAAGTATGATGTAACTCTACACATGATTTTCTTGTCAAATATGCAGTATCATACGTAAGTGGTCTGAGGTTGGTGGAAAACAAGGGTAGTAGCTTCATGAGCATTCTTACGCAGATCGTGTTGCTAACTATGTACAATTTATTTGAAGCTACAGAGAAGACCCTTCAACAAGACATCTCATCGCCCAGAGGTTCTACTAAGCGCTGACTTCGACAGCACTCACTTCAACACCAGAGTTCTTCATGTCAACAGCGACAGGCTTCGCCTGAGGAAGACCGTAAACATCAGTCTCATCTTCCTGCATGCCACCCAAGAGCAAAGAGCTCGGAGCAGCCGCCTGATCCGCAGGCGATGCAAGGAAAGCCAGGAACTTCTCGTCATGCCACTGACGCGAGGTGACGTAGCGACCCTCGCTGTCTTGAAACATAGTCTCATCCTCAGCACGGAGGAAGTATGCAACCGAGTAGCGATGCTCGGTGTAGTCGTATGGAACAACACGGTGGATGCACGACTGGAAAGTGTGGCCGCTGGCGAAGCGAAGAGAGTCGCCGACGTTGATGATGGCTTGGCCCTTCTTGGGCTCCACGAAGCCAAACTCCTTGCTGCCTGGTGGGCGGATCTGGAGACCCCACTGCTCGGTAAAGAGCACTGTCAAGGAGCTGATGTCGGTATGCTTCTGGTGGCCGACGTTGCCGTCCTTGACGGGGTGCGAAGGGATGTAGTGCATCATGGAAAGTGTGCTCGTTGAAGGGCGGTGATTGCGGTGCAAGTTCTCGAAACGCGCACCACCCGTCAGGCCGAAGGCTGTTGACAGAGCTGCCAAAATGGCCTTGCCCATGATGTTGTTGCCCGAGATGGCGTTCTCGATGACCTTGAGGTCGGAGCTGTTCTTGATGTTGCGAGGAATGTGGGGTGACTCGCGTTGGATCTCATCGCGAGAGATCTTGACCATCTCATAGCCGTCTCGCTTGCCTTCCAGCGAACCGTTGCGTGAACCAACAGGTTCGTATCTGAGGCAGGTCAGTACTTGCATGAAAATGGAGACATGCTGGCTTCGTAACTCACCCAAGATGAGGAGCGATGAGTCCATACTCGTTCTTGATCTCAATGGGAGACTCGAAGAAGCGGTGCATAACCTTCAACAACTCCTGGTGGTCATCGATGAATCGGCGTCCATCGACATTGTTCAGGTCCAGGTAAAAGAAACCCTCTTTCTTGCAGCACTCAAGAAGCTTCTCAAGCTCAGCGGGTTCTTGCGAGAGGATCGCGGAGAAGTCGATCGTCTCCATAGGGTAGACCGGGACCTGCTTTCCGTTCCACTCGACCCTTCGGGGTACTTCAGTTACCGGAGCCATGTTGATGATTGATGTGATCGTAGTTGTAGTGAAGACGGCGTGCTCTCTGGTTGCGTTGGAGCTATGTTATAACGTACTGCGTATTCTTCAACGTTTTTTTCATGCTTTATAGCAACCTTTCGCACGTTCATCAGACACGGTTCGGGATGCACTCCCTGTTGACATGTTAATTGGCCTTCATCTCGATGATACATGATCTGTTGCCTTCCAAGATCTAGAGATGATCATAGATTGAGTTGGGTTTCTCTCAGTCCAGGATTTCAAGTGTATTGTTTCATACCCCGCATCTTGTGCAGCGATGAGGACCGCCGCGAGGTCGGCATATGGAACCAGTTGGAGTGCTACAGCAAGGGCTGCCTGTTGTGCTGCGGCTGAACACCTGGTCAGCCTGTCGATACAAGGGATTACTGAGCCCTCCGCATACACGTGTCTTTGCAGTGATTGTATGATGTACACGTGGAGTTGCTGCACCCTGCACATCTGTCATCTATCCTTTGTATGGGTAAAACCCAAGATCAGAGCACTTGAGTAGATCCCTAGGGATGGCGTAGTGGAGTCCTTCGCCGTCGCGGGACCACCAGTGAGGATGTCTGGTGCAATCTTGATGCGGTCACAAGTTGTATCGAACATATTGTCGGCAGCTGGGCAGTAACTGCCGTAGATGAAGTTGTAACTGGTGGGGCTTCCGCGGGGGTAACTCCCTGAACTCGAAGCTGGCGGCGTGCCCCGAATGACCTCAATTGAGATGTACATGCAGCTTAAATGATTGCAACTGTACGTGGTTGCTACTAAGTGGAGTCGCGAATAAGCCGTCTAGTTGCGGCGACGCGTCGTGGTTTCGCGATGAGGGAGCTGGGAGGTCAGGATCAAATTCATTTTCCCGCCACGTGCACATCACGCGCGGCTCATGGATGCATTTCTCCAATTTCCAACAACAACATCGACGAGACAGAACGACCGCAAGACTCATGACGGAAAATGATATATGGTATTGATACAGATAAGCAACATAACGCTGAAGCATTCTACAGCTTCATACCCAGCACTTTGTGTACCCGCAGCGCCTGCCTGATACTCAAGTCAAGCATGATCTCTTCCGATCCACCAGGGATAGCGTAAGCCCTGACATCCCTGTATAGCCTCTCGACCTTCGCGCCTTGTCCACCACGACTGTAACTCAAGCCGCCGAAGATTTGACTTGCTTCCCTAGCACAGAACTCGAAGGTTGTGGTACTTTGCGCCTTCAAACTGGCAATAGCGCCACCAAGCTTCAGCATAGCCTCCATCTCGTCCATCTTCTGGCACTGGTAGATGAGGTTCTCCATCCAGTTGTAGCTTGCCTCGATCTGACGTGCCATATGCGCGAGCTTGAGGCGAATGACGGGGTGGTCGATGAGACGCTTGCCGAAAGTTCTGCGCTTGTGTGCGTACTTGACGCTCTCCTCGTAGCAGACGCGGGCGAAGCGCAGACATTGGATGATGATGCCGATACGCTCGTGGTTGAAGTTTGTCATGACCACCTTGAAGCCCTGGTTCTCTTTGCCAATGAGGTTCTCGACGGGGACCTTGACGTCCTCGAAGGTAACGTAGGTAGTGCCGCTGCTCCATACACCTTGACAGTCCATCTTACGAGTGGAGACACCACCGGCGCTGCGCTCGATTAGGAGCACTGACACACCGTTCATGCCCTCTCCGCCAGTGCGGACAGCGGTTGTGAAGTAGTCGGACCAAATACCGTTGGTGATCCACTTCTTCTCGCCGTTTACGATGTAGTGTTTGCCGTCTTCGGAGAGCTTGGCTTCGCAGGTCAGGTTCGCGACGTCGCTACCGGCATCTGTTGCAGTCAGTAATTGGTCGAAGCATATTGCGGGCACGATGAGGTAATTTACCTGGCTCAGTGATGGCGAGGCAGATTCTCTTCTTTCCGCTCAATAGGTCTGGTCCAATGCGCTGGACGAGCTCCTTCTTGCCGAACTTGAACAGAGGAGGTCCGCCAATTCCGTATCCTCCGATCAGGCCCCAGACGAGACCACCACTGCCTGTCCTTGACAGCTCATCGGTGATGATCATCTCGTGGAAGTGATCCCACTTCTCTGTCGGCACACATTGGACCCGCTTATCTGTGTATTCTGTAGGGAAGTGCATGCCGAGCATACCAGCGAGGTATCCGCGCTCGCCCATTTCCTGGAAGATCTCGTCGGGCACCTTCTTCGCTTCGTCCCATTCGGTGACGTTGGGCATGAGTTTCTCCTCGACCCATTGGCGGACTTCATCGCGGAGGGCTACGTGGGTATCGTTGTAGTAGGGCGAGTGGTACTGGATCTGGTGTTAGCGATGCCAATGCGTGATGTGTAGGCTGACATACTGTTTGGTACCATGATGGGTCTGCGTATGGGATGAGGTCGCCGTAGGCATCGAAAGGCTCCGACTCCTCAGCGGCAGCCTCGGTTGGCTGTGGCGCAATAACACCGGAGTTGGCCTCTGGCTTGACCACATCCTTCTTCGGCGCCTTCTTCTGCTCGGGCGCAGCAGTAGCTGGAGGAGCTGGAGGCGCGGCTTTGCTGTCTAGCGATCCGACTTGTAGCTGCTTCTGGTACTTCTTAAGGATGCTGTCATTGTGGTACTTCCAGAACTGCTTCGAGGCGTCCTTTCCGGCGACGCGTTGGAGGACTTGCGACTGTCAGCTTCGCGAATCATGTTTGTGCATCGAGGTTGGACGTACTCTTCTTGCCTCCTGGGTGCTCCTCCTGGAAGTTCGTGAGATCATAGACGTCCTCGTCTACGATGATCCACAGATCGCTCGCTGTCTTGTGCGACGCGACATCAGCGGTCGAGAAGCGTTTCGACATGTTGTTCTGAGTGTCAACACGTAAGAGGGGCAGGTGTGAGTAAGGAGAGCAGAGTGATGAGGTGTCGCTAATCACAGGACAACCCTTACTGACTTATAAGAGGCTTAGCAAGTTTCGGGACGTCTTCACATGCCAGGAACTACTCCACGCCAAGGCAATCCGGGGAACCCGCCAGCTGCTGAAAGTCGGCCGCACATAGCGCGTTCTGGAGTGCAGCAAGCCGCTGTCTGATGATCTCGTGCGTTGGAATGCGAGCGCTGCAATTGGTTGTTGCCGTCACGGACCGGGTGACTTGCTGTTTGGAGCTTCACGTCATACGCGCAAATGCCGAGGTATGCCGCATTGGGACGCTCACGTGTCGACATCTCAGTCTTCACATGCCGAACAGAAGAGGCTGACATTCAGATGCTCAGCGAGCCGTCGCATGGATTACTCTGGCACCTAGTCAAACGCAGGGGATGCCCCAGGTCGTCGAGCGAGGAGTCCCGACGAAGGTATGGTGCGTCCTTCCAACGCGTTTCGTGGGGTCTCCGCATCACGACCGCGTCATTCTTCGTCGCCTTCAAGAACTCGATGCGCATTCAAGTTCAGCCATGAAGACAACTTCTCACCTCCTATTCATGACTCAAGGCATTTATAATACAACATGTCTCGACAAGTCCAGGTAAAGAAGGGGTCTGAGATCCAAGCTCCAGATGGCCCCCAAACTGATGGCATGATTCGCATGCCCGCAATTGTGGACATGTCTGACCAGATCTGTGGAACAGGTAGGGCTGATGTTGTCACTAACACTTCGACTACTGACGATGACAGTAATGATCGCAAAACCTCATACAGCTTCTGCGATCCACCACCACGGCGATGAGGGTACGTCTTGTATTGCACCCGTGTTCTCCTTCATACGCGCTCGAGCGATTTCGTAATATTGTACGAGTAGTACCTGAGATCTTGGCAGATACCATCGTGTACGCCGCGAAGGGTCATGGCGCCCTAGTCAGCGGATCGAACGGCAGTAAAAGACAAGAGCTAGCACCAGGGGATTTTGCACTCATACCAGCGTATGCAGAGCATCAAGAGGTCAACGACAGCAATGAGGATGTTGTTTGGATCATCACACGGGGTGGCAGAAATCCTGTTGTCCAGAACCTCGAGGCTTGGTCAAAAGACTGAGATGTTTGCCAGCGGTGCCCTGTCAAGAACCCCTCTTCGGGCACGAACACACAGATTCGTTACCGTTGCGGGACCGAATTACATGTCCTGATGCGTTTAGTCATCCCGTATGTTGATTAGTCGCATTCGGCCCATCTACGTCGAATGATAGCGGTGAAACTGACCATCTGTCACTCGATATCACAGCAGAACGGGAACTTTGCATCATCTACAAGGCTTTCAAGCGGAAATCTACGTCAGACATGCCTGTTTGTCTAAGCGGTGCTGCAGGTGTCGATAACACATTGGCGACTTGTCGCTCACATGTTGGGATCATGGGCTCTCATTGGTCAGCAGGCCCTCTCGTTACAGCGCCCCAACATTCATGGTACAGCATACATTGCCTGGTAGATGGCAAGATGCATGCCTTATATTCGAGTCTTAGCCGCCCTCAGTCCAGTTCTTTCACTTCCCTCATCGTCTCAGCCCCCTATATTGCTTGACCCGTCCGGACCGCTCGGCATACACGGCACCCACGGCACGTGTTAGCCACAGTTGAGCCACACCAAAGACTGCGCCATACTTCCACGCAAAGGCAGTCATCATTCATTGGGATTCGGACTCCCTGAGATACGCACCGTTGAGTACTGATTTGACGGTACCGAGAACGTTGGTATGGTGGTGACCCATACTTAGCGACACACCGAGCGCCACCCTCTCGCGTACTGTTTACTTTTACGTTTAAAGCACCACCTTTACCTTGTGTTTTGGCATATTCTACTTTGCCGCTGCAGAGATGTCGTCTCCTACGAGATCGTCTTTCTTCACAGGCATTTGTACTTTTTCCATACTAATCTCAACCGGATCTGTGCAGGCACAACTGGATTATAGCAAATATGTCAATGTCTTGTAAGTAGCAGGTTCCATGCTATCTGTACTGCACTAACAGCTATCAGTCAAGGAACCCAGGGCGGAGGAAATAGATTTCCTGGGGTCGTGGCCGCACCCTTCGCAATGGTCAAGCTTGGACCAGACGTTCGATTTATGAATACCGACGCGTATTCTGGCTACCTCCCCGAGGGCAACATTTTCGGCTTCAGTATGATGCACGAGTCTGGGACAGGAGGAGCGCCAAAGTACGGTGTCGTAAGTCAGATGCCAGTGGTCGGTGAGGTGCCCGACCCCCTTGCAGATCTGTCCCAATCACGAGCATCACCAGATCAAGGGAGTCTTGGTTACTACAAGAGTTCGCTGGCAAATGGGATCACAGTAGAACTAGGCGCGACCGAACATGCCGGGCTTTACACTTACTCTTTTCCAAACGGCACAGCGTCGTCCATTGTAGTGGATGTCTCGCACGTACTTCCCAGTTTCAGGGGCCTTGGGTGGGAGCAACACTACTCGGGTGGTAGCTTCAGTATCGAAGAAGATGGGCACTACGAAGGTTCTGGTGTCTACAACAACGGCTGGAACCTATCACCGGATTGGACGATATATTTCTGTGGCAAGTTCAACAAGCGACCCTTACGAGCGAGGACTTTCAGAGAGGGGTCCAATGCATCAGACGCTTCAGTATCAGGAAGTTCCCGTCTTGGAGGTGTCTTCACATTCACCGAACCAGAAATAACATCCCGAGTCGGCATCTCCTTCCTCTCTACCTCTCAAGCTTGTACAAACCTCGAAGAAATCTCCCCAGACACCTCACTCAACACCCTCGTCTCCACCGCAAAGAACAGATGGAACACCGAAATTCTCAGCAAAGTGCAAACCTCCTCCTTCGATACCGCCGACCTATCCCTCATCTACAGCACCCTCTACGGCGCCTTCCTCATCCCTTCGAACCGAACCGGCGAGAACCCATCTTGGAACTCCACCGAACCCTACTACGACGACATCTTCACTTTCTGGGATACGCACCGCTGCCACACCTCCCTCTTCCACATCCTGCAACCCACCGCCTACGAAGAGTTCCTCCGCTCTCTAATCGACATCTGGCGCCACGACGGCTTCCTACCCGACGCCCGGTCTTCAAACTACAACGGCCGCGTACAAGGCGGTTCAAACGCCGACAACGTGCTCGCAGACGCCTACATCAAAGGCGTCCGGGGCGCGATAAACTGGGACGATGGTTTCGCTGCTATGCGCACCGACGCTGAAGTCGTTCCACCCAACAACTTCGATCCTCAAGCCCCTGATTCCTCGACCAAGGAAGGACGGGGTGCACTCCCCGATTGGCTCGAGTACGGATACATAACACCAGCTTTCACCCGCGCCGTATCGCGTGCCGTGGAATACTCAACCAACGACTACGCAGTCCACGTCGTCGCCGCCGGCCTGGGTAAAACATCCGAAGCAGAAACCTACCTTAACCGCTCCCGTAACTGGCGTAACCAGTGGAACCCTGATGCTACTTCCTACAACCACACCGGTTTCCTCGTCCCCCGCCTGTCCACCGGCGAATTTCTACCCCAAGATCCCGCTGACTGTGGCGGCTGCTACTGGCCCGACGCGTACTATGAAGACAATAGTTGGATTTACAGTATGAATGCTATCCACGATGTCGCCGAGTTGATCAATAAGATCAGAGGCGACGAGAGGTTTGTAGATCGTTTGAACAAGATCTTCGAATTGGGCTTCTTTGACGCCGGGAACGAACCTAGTTTCACCACGCCGTATCTTTACAATTTCGTCAAGGGGGAGCAGTGGAGGAGTGTTGAGCGGAGCAGGGGCGTGTCGGACTTGTATAATGCCGGGGTGATGGGGTTGCCTGGGAATTCGGATGCCGGGGCTATGGAGGCGAATTTGCTCGTAAGTCATCTTTCCAGTCTCATTTTGATGGTTGCTGGAGACGATGGCTGACTGTGGGAATAGTGGCAGATGATCGGTCTCTATCCGGCGACGGGTCAGACTACTTTTCTCATTCTCTCCCCATGGTTCTCAGAGCTTACGCTTGATCTTGGGAATGGGAAGAAACTTACCGTTAGTACTGCTTTCAGTGGTGGCGGCGATCGGAATACCGCGCCATATGTGCAGAGTCTGAAGGTCAATGGCGAGACTTGGGACAAGGCATGGGTGGCTTGGGAAGATGTCTTTGAGAACGGAGGCACCATGGAGTATGTGATGGGAAGTAGTCCCAGTCACTGGGCGACAGGAGATCTACCACCTAGTCCAGCTTCGGAATAGAACAATGATTTCAGTCATATTTACGTCAGCAGCATGTGTGTAATTGTTGGTTTCACTGACAAAGGAGCTTGATGTGGTAGTGTTGAGAATGATATTACTCAAAAGACGATGGTGTGCCGTCAGTATGCTATCAACACCCGTCACTGTCGCAACCAGAGCATACAGAGAAAATATACATTTCGATCCAAGCAGTCGTAATCTGGTAGTCCATAAGTCTGCAATGCAGCATGCCACTGTACGCCGACGCCTGTCAATGCGCAAACAAATAAAGTGAAGTAAAGTAAAGAGATGAGAATATCGAAAAAGCTGCGTGGTGTCTTTGAAAAGAAGCAAGTAGCGTTGTGGCGTGGGACTGGCCGATAAGATCTAGGTGACCAAGACAGGTTCCCAAACGACAGCCGGACACGAATATTTTTACGGCGGCGGTGGCGTCTCCTCAGGATGCACGTAATCAAGATGATGCCCAGTGGAGAAATAACCAACGTGGTCGGACATGATCCGAGGAAGGGTTGATTCCCATAAGGCTCGCTGTTCTTCAAGTTTCTGTTTTCGTCTCTCTGCATCCGCGGTCCCCGCGTCAGTCTGTAGTCTACGTTGCAAAAGCAGTGGTGCGCTACGGCTCGTGGGTAGCGTGGGGGAATGGCTCCACTCGTTTGCCCACGTATTCGCTCTTTTGTGCCCATGTTTCCGTGGGATTGTTGTGGCAGCACCATCGTCTTGGCTGCCCAGCTGTTCTAGTCCAGGCCTCCTCCGTACGCGTCGCAGTCTCTGGGATAGACCTCGTCTCATCGATTCGCCCGTTGTCTCCACAGCATCCGAGGGCTCCTGGACATCTTCCTCGTATTGTATCGTTGCCGTCTTCGCGATGATCGGAGATCCAGGGGAGGGAATGTCTTGGACATCCTACACCAAAGTACAAGGTTAGTAACTTTGAGGTGCGTAGTGTGCGGGCTACAAGCCAAAGTCAGTCCTGCTATAAATGCAATAGATAGCCCTGAATCAAACAAGAATTCAGTAAGCTCAGCTGCGATACGTACTGGTGAGTTGAGCATGCTTTGACGCTTGTTCCTGCTCTTCTTGATGTGGCTCTTGAGCGCGCTCGAATCGAGTGGTTTGAGAAGTTCAAAACTGCAAAGCAATTCTCCCGAAACCGACATAACGGCGCCCCAGTTGTCGAATTCGCCGCAGTACTGGGTAGTGTTAGCATGAGTGTGACTGTGGAGTATATGACATTGCTTACGTTTGGAGCTGAAAACACGGTGACCAACACTCGATCAGTAAAGAACTCATAGCCATCCTCTACCACCATGTGTGCTCTGCAAACAAGGTCGAAGTCATGCCTTGCGAGGAACTCCATGATGACCTTCTTTCCAAAACAATAACTAACGCCTCTTTCGTTAGATTCCCAGTCGTTCTCCATATCCGCAGGATCGCTCCACAAGAGGTCGTTCAGCAAGCCATAGTCGGGTACATCGGTAGGTCGCGCGATTTGCCTAATATCATCCATATGCGACAAGCTTGGAGACAGCCCACCGTGAACACAGAAAATCTTCTGCGCAACAATAGCTGCAATAGGGAGTGTGTTGAATGTATCCACGAAAGCCTTCCAAACTTTGATATTGCATCTCCTCTTGCATTCATCGTAGAAGCCGTATACACGTGTAACGTTGGCGCATTCGTGGTTGCCGCGGAGGAGGAAGAAGTTCTCGGGGAATTTGAGCTTGTAGCAGAGCAAGAGTAGGATAGTTTCCAGGCTCTGTTTGCCGCGGTCTACGTAGTCGCCGAGGAATAGGTAGTTCGAATTGGGAGGGAATCCGCACATCTCGAACATGCGGATC